GATTATTACGAAAGTATAGTTCAACAATATTAGAAACTTGATTGAATAGGTGGAAATTGCAAGAAAAAAAAGAAATGGAAAACAGACTGGTGTTCAAGTCATGAAGAACCTTTGCACAAGCAACATAGGAAAGGCAACTCGTTGTTACATTAATGAAATTCAGAACAATCTTGAGATCTGATTGTTTTTGAAATGCAGTCCATAATGTTTGGAACCTAGGCCAGGTGTTAATGATACATAAAATACAATTGAATGCAGCAAGGTCAAGAAGAAAAAGATCAAAGATGAAGTGGCTTTCCAGATAGGTAATGGATAAAAGAAAAAAAGGTCAAGTTAAAAATTTTAAAAAGAATTAAGGGCCGGCCCCATGGCCGAGTGGTTAAGTTTGGGGGCTCCACTTCGGTGGCCCAGGGTTTCACTGGTTCACATCCTGGGAGCAGACATGGCACCGCTCATCAGGCCATGCTGAGGCGGCATCCTACATGCACAACTAGAAGGACCTGCAACTAAAATACGCAACCACGTACCGGGGGGATTGGGGAGAAAAAGCAGAGGGAAAAAAAAAGAAGAAGATTGGCAACAGTTGTTATCTCAGGTGCCAATCTTTAGAAAAAAAAAAAATTTTTAAAAATTAAAGTTAAGCCAGGAAAAATGTCATTGTCTGAATGGAAAGGATAACTGATAATAGATAAGGATAAAATCTCAGAGATTTCTAAGGTTTTATATTTTATCTGATTAAAAAAGTCAATTTTGATATGTTGAGAAGGGCAACTTATCATAAGAGTTAGACAAGAATGGATTACAAAAGAAGCATTCAGGAACGCCAGCTAAATCAAAATGAGGTAGAAATCACGTGGTTTATTATTTTACTAGGATACTTAACAGCTATTGACTGGTTTAAGAGTCGTTGTGGCAATCATAAATTTCTGGATAGTGAAGGAGAATTACTGGATTACCTGTCTATTAATCAAAAGGGAAAAGGAAGCCCTGGTAATTAAGTAGCTGTCACCTGAACTGCAATATTCAGAAAGATGAATGCAAATCATCAAACAATCAATTTGTAACCAGAGAGAACTGAGAACAGAGTAGGGACTGCCTTGACTTTCAGAGAAAAATTTTGTTTCATGATGAGGAGACAGGAGGGGTAGATAAGAGGGACTTTAAGAGACTGAGACTACATGGATTTCTGTAATACATTTTCACCTCAAATCAGAAACTGTTTGAACTATTGACCTCAGTGTTGCCGTAGAGTATATGGTATGCGTGCAGTCTTTAAAATCATTTGAATTAAAATAGATTTTGTTTTGTGATTTAAACTCTCCTTATATACTACATATATTTGAGATTTTCATCTACAATCACAAAGGAATTCCACTTCTTTTGATGAGCACAAAGGTGGTTTCACCCAGTTTTATGGGACTGTCATAAAATTGAAGAGGTCTGTATGGTTCTCCTATTCTTCAAGGCAGCATGTCTGTGCATATAAATAATCTTATCAATCATCTCCTAAAAAAATGCCTTCAGGAGAAGAATTCTGGCCAGAATAATCACTTCCCTCTTATAATGAATGATAGATTCAAACTTTGGCACCAATTTATCCTATTGAGATGTTTGGCAAAATTTCTCTAGAATGAACTTAATGAGTATTATAACACACGATAAAAAAAGAAAAAACTCTATCATCTCCAAATGTGGTACACATTCACTTGATATTCATTTCCTCAAAATTTGATGGGATTAACCTCAACTAACTGAAGGCCTCTCAAATGAATATCTTATATGAGGATCCTAGGGATTTCACACACAGATTACTGCTTACATTTCATGTTTTTATCAAGGAGAAAGTAGCTATTAATTCAAGATTGTAACATTCATCAAGACTTTATATCGAAGCCTCCTTAGATAAATTCAGCAGTTCAGTATTGAACAATACGGCTTTTGCACAAGCAACATAGGAAAAGCCATTAGTTGTTACATTAATGAAATTCAGAACAATCCTGAAACCTGATTGTTTTTCAAAAGTAATCCATAACATTAGGAAGCTAAGCCAGGTGTTAAAAAAAAAAAAAAAGATAAATAAAATATAATTGAATACAACAAGGTCAGGAATAAAAAGAAAGATGGGAGATGAAGTGGCTTTCCAGATAGATAATGGGAAAAAGGAAAATAAAAATTAAAGTTAAAAATTATAGCCAGGAAAAATGTCAAAACTACATCACAAAATTACTATGAAAATTTGAATTGATAGAAATTAAATGCAAAAATAGCACATTTATTTCAAAAAAGAATTGTAAAAAAGAAGAAAACAATAATGGCTAATAATTCTAATATTGCTATAACATTTGCTTTTGCTAAATGTAAAAAAATGAATACAATTCAAATTAAAAAAAAACAAAAGCCCCTCAAAGTACTTTTTAAGCATATTAGCAGTTTTCATGTAACTGTCCAGAAATAGTCTGTGCAGAACCAATACCATTATTTTTTATTTATTCAAATCAGCTGGTAAAATATGTACTCTCCCATTTTTAACTATTTTTACTGAATAATTATTTGAAATTATTGCACATTAGCAGATATAAATATATATGAGTTTTAACTGCCCCATAATATTCCATTGTGAATATATCATAATCAATCAACTAGATATGATGGATATTTAGATTTTAGCATTGACTTTGCATTGAAAAAAAAATAGTCTTCCAACTTTATATCAAGACTTGGTTGAGCCATGAATGAAATTAGAACATAAGTTACATTTTTAAAAAGTCAATGTACACCTGAGAGTTTTCTCAACATCAAATAGAAAAGAGATCCCACCCAGTCAACTTACTCTGGAGCATTAAGAGTAAAGCTTTGGGAGAATTAAATGACATAATGCTTGTGAAACCTTAGCTCACTGCTAGAAAATATCAAGGCTGAAAAATGTTCATTTTGGAAGCGGTCTAGAGATGGTGGTAAGGAGCCAAAGTGTGTGAGGTTTTTCTGCTGTCCTGGAGAGCCCAGGGCAGTGGTATTAGTTTGGGGATCAAAAGATAGGGATGAAACAGAAGAAATATCCTCAAGGAAGGGAAAATATCAGGTAAGGTGAGGAGGTAGAAGGATAGTTGGAGAAAAGATTAGGGCAAAGTGGAAGTCATTCAACAGGAGCACAGAGTTGCTCAGTGCACTTGCAAGTGGCTGACAGGCAAGGGGCTGAGCGGTACAGGAGACGTGAGCTGGAAGCAAATTCGAATAATGAGAATCACTCACTTTCTCAGAAATGTGGACATTTTCCATAGAGGATTCTTGCTAAAGATGAGCTTTCTTTATTCATAAACCATGAATAAGGTCTTAAAAAATATATTATGTAGAAGAAAATATGTTCTTTGAGTTGAAAACACTATTCTCTAAAAAGTTTTCCCAAATCATTGATTTCTCCAACACTATTTCCTATTACACAAGCCCCAGACCAAATAGAGGAATGGGACAAATTGAAACTAAGGTTCTTGCAGGTCTAGAAGCAACTGATATAATATAATGGAATATAACATATTAAATACATTTATATTATATACTAACTCTTTTATTAATTGCCATGTGATTCTCATTAGTCCTTAAAGAAACATCAATAATATACAAAAAGTTCAATTCCAGTTTGAACAATATGAAAAGAGAAAGTATGTCAAAGTAGAATTTAATTATTAGACTTAAGTGGCAGAAATCTTATTGACATGAATACTAAAAAAACTCAAAGTACTATGCATATTATGACTGTTCTCAATAAGGGCTAAAAAGATATATTCAGAAAACACATTCCAACATTCAAGGAGCATAATGAAAAGAGAGCATTAGCCATGCCAGCCAAATATTTTATTTAAATTTAATTACCATTCCCGTCTTCAATAACTTTTTTAGATGAATTCTAAGAATCTCTGTGAGATATTTAGATTTTAACTACAAAATAATCATTTGATATATCAGGAATGTAACCATTAACTATAACGAATATGATCACCCAGAAATATGTAAACTGTTTTTATGATATAAATGTATATTAAAATTAATTATTGTATATGTTTATCATAGTAAATGTAATTGCTAAATGACATTTTAAATGGATTCATCACTCTGTAGTAACTAAACCACTTATCTACATGTGGAATAGAGGTGTTTGTAAGTCAGAAAGCTTAATTCTCTTTCTTTCCTGTTGCAGTTTGCTCAAAATAAAATACATTAAAACATTCAAATCCAAACACAACAGAAGCCTACATTCTATAATAATCACCAGCACTGGAAAATCAAAGGACTAACTGCAACCAATTATATTGACCACCATTATATATTACAGAGGGAGAATTTCAGACTCTCTCAAGCTCAGGAGATTACTTGAGAGTACGAGCAGTTATAGGAAGCAAAGGAGAAGACACAGTCAAAGAAATTCTAGGAAGTTAGGGGAAGAAAAGGTGAAAGTTAAATTTCACTCCTGATTTTGAAAATAATTGATAACATACAATAAACAATGCCTTAAACAGACATACACAAAAGTGCCCCCACTCTTACATAGATACATATACACACACTCTCACGGAGACAACTGTTAGGATGGACATGCTAACACTGCTGAGATACATAACCGCATATCAATGAATCTTTGCATAGGTATTCACATTTCACCAAATTTCCTCACTTTCTAATACTTGTAAAGTCAAAATAAGATATTTGATAAACAAGACAGATTTGATAGAAGGTAAGTCATACTTGATTGAAAAAATGGGATTGTTGGGTATGTCATAGATAGGTAAAAAAGAACAGAGAACTTTCAAAACACCACAGAATGCCATCATATTTTTTAAATGTCAAAAAGGATCAAATTTATTTTTAACAAACTAAAGAGAAGGAATTAATGTATACTCTAACCTGTGTGGTAAAGTTAAAACGGAAGTAATCCATTCATGATCTGGTAAAAGAACGCAAGGATAAAGAAGCCATTATGCTCTCACAGACCCCTACACATAAAATACCTTTTTACTATATCTTCTCCATTCCAGCAGGGCAGTCCATCAGCAGCGGCCAATTCATTCACACAAAGCTGATCAGCCAGGCCCCCATAGAATGTCCTGTACAGTCGAAGGCTGTTGATAAATTCCCTGAATGGAAAAACAAAGAAAACAATTAAAATAAAAAGTCCATAACGTATGCTAACATAAATAGCATAATTTGTTATGCATAATCTTTAGACGGCAACTTCTTAATACTTTTCTAACCATCAACATAAAAACTACGTTTTTGGAAAAAAGCTAGTATTCAAGTTCATTCTTTCGAATAAAAATTTTTGCTGAGTATGAATCCTATATAACTCCAGGTTTAAAAAGTTGTGAACAGTATACATACACACACACAACTTCATTTAGCTTCCTTAAAAGCCCTCACTAGTTGCTGGCATCTAAACCACAGTGATACTAACCGCTTTCTTTTTCATACAAAAATGTCAGAGTCTTATAACAAGCTAATTGATTGCTTGCTGATTAAAAGTTTAGTAGACTTGGTTGATTTTCCTATCTGGCTCTTCTCTTTGGTGCCTAAGAACATAAAGTAACATGTCTTCGCTAAATATGAAAAACCCAGATATGCAACACATTTCAGAAGCATGAAAATAAAAGTTATTGGAAGAAATAATATTTAATACATTACCTAAAGTTTTTTCTTTTACCACTTCCCCTTCAATTATGGAAAGGAAAAATTCAACAGAAAAGTTTGTTTTTAATTTAGAAAACCAAGACTTTTGAGTTTTAAAGCTAAGTCTTTGAGGTCCCAAGAACTTGAGATTTAGCATTTCAAAAGACCAAGTCCTAAAGACTTTAGTGCTGCATTTTTTTACATAGATAACTGTTTTGGAAAAGAAATGAAAAGCCACTAGCCTGATACAGAAGAGATGTTCTCTGGACTAGGAGGCAGGGACAGGAGAAGGAAATACTGGAAGGAAAGCAAACTTCAGAAATTCATGGGATTAATAGTTAAAATGCACCAGTTATAAAATTGCATCTCCCATTGATACTTTAAAAATAATTTATTAAAAAATGAGATTAATGAGGAGGGGTGGCTCTGAACTATAGCTGGAATAACAAAATTTAAAAAATTAAGTCTGATTTTGATAGCACTTGATGCAGGCTCAGTGAGCCGAGGAGTCAAAAGAAAGATTTCTTGGACTCTCAAGGTCTGGCAGTAGTGCTCTTTTATTTAGAGAATAGTATGGAGTAGCATGGGGACAGGACCCATGGGCAGTAAAGAGCTGCTGCAAACATGGGTTGAGGGTAGGATTAAATTTAAGGCATAGGTATGTGAGTTATCTCTTTATAAGACAAAGGGAAGAATATGTAAAAAAGTTGTTAAAATGGTATCAGTGCCGTCTGGTTATTGGGTGGTCCTATAACTTTAGATAAGAATCAGATCGGATTAAGTCAGGATGTCCTATGCTTCCCCATCAAGAGTTTCTAGAGATAAGGTCATCACCCCTTCCTCCTGTTGCAGAGAGGGAGACACCCCCACAGATGGAGACTTCCTTCACAAATGCAAACGTCTCTCATCAAAGGGAGAGCAAATTCCATTCCTCAGAGCCTCCTTCCCATCTGCAGTTTTTAAAAGTAACCAGCCCAAAATAATCCTCATCAGCACTGATACTCAATTGTAGTAATTTGTGTGTGTGTGAAGAAGATTGGCCCTGAGCTAACATCTGCTGCCAATCCTCCCCCCAAACCCTCGCCTGAGGAAGACTGTTGCTGATCCAACATCTGTGCCAATCTTCCTCTACTCTGCATGTGGGACACTGTCACGGCATGGCTTGATGAGTGTTGTGTAGGTCTGAGCCCAGGATCCAAACCCATGAACCCCAGGCTGCTGAAGCAGAGTGTGCAAACTCAACCACTGTGTCACCTGGTCAGCCCCTCAACTGTATTAATTTTATAATTCTCTCTCTTATGTGTTTTCAAAGAACTGTTTGTAGAAATTGCTGGAGTTGTAAATAACCACTAATCTGTCAGAAGGATAAATGTAATTTTCAAATATGTAACATCTGAAACCATAGAGGAGATCAAAAGTTCCCACGGCAAGTGTTGGTGAGTATTTAATCAAATTTTTAGCAAAGCTTCACCAGACCAGTGATAACGAAATCACTGCAGGAAGCCTAAATCTGATTCACCTCTAACTTAGGCTCAATAAAAAATAAAGCATGCTTTACTTTCTTGCTAGCACAGTGACTACTTATTTATACTTTAAGTCAGTTTGCTCTACTAGGAAATAAGTCCCTCCCTGATGGCTATATCCCTACTAACTGGAATGCATGAACAAATACCAATTCTCATGTTACAGCTACTAAAACATAACTGATGAAGCTGACTGGTTCTTGCCTAGAGAGGTGGGGCTTAATAAACAGAAAGCTGAGTGACTCCTGTCCTGAATTCTACTCCCTGTAAATGACCACTTGTTTGGAATCAAAGAATCTTCTAGAATGAAGGGACCTGGCACAAATGGCTAGAATGTTGAGACCTCCAAATTGATGCTGTAAAACTGGATAGATTTTTTTGATGGGCCCCCGCCTCCTACTCTAACCTTGGAGAATGATGCCCTCATTTCATTTCTCCCTTCACAACTCATAGATCATAACACGGAAAACTTTACATCTTTCTTTTCCAATCCCCTTTCCCAGTGCTCCTGCCATTGCCTTTGCTCAACCTTATCACCTCTCTCTGGAAATATTGCTCTAGGATGACACACCTCTGCTTTCTTTTCTTAACAATCACCTTCCATCCTCCATGAGAGCCACCTTTTAAAATTCAAATCTGATAATATCCACAGGTTATGTCACTCACTTATTTAAAGCCATCAATGGCTCTCTATTCTCTACAGCATGAGATCTGAACTTCTTGGAAAGGCATATAAGGCACTCTCTCAGCCCAATTTCAGCAGCAACCCAAACCACACTTTGGGCTCCACAAAAGTGAGATATTTGCTATTTCCCAATATACTTCCATGCTTTTGCATGCATCCTCTCTGAAAGGATTGTATCCTATAAGATTTCCACTCATTCTATGAACCAGCAGCTATCGCTTCTTCATCACAAAGAACTAAACACCACTGAGTACCAAGCTCTGTGTTGGCACCAGGGATTCACAGCTAAACAAGACAATCCCCACCTTCTAAGAATACACATTCTGGTGAAAATCCACAATACTAATACAATGTTAACAGTACCATTTTGAGGACAGAGAAGGAATCAGGAAATATTTACAAAACAAGGTAACAATTCAGTGTTCCATGCAAAAAAAACCAAACAAGCAAGCAAGCAATAATAACAACAAAAAACCAGAATAAGCAAAGATAAAGAGGAAAGAGAATATTGTGTGTTCAAAGATTCATATGCAGTTTAGTTTTGGCTTGTGGGGAGCATGCTTATGGGAATGATGGTTAAAAGGTAGGAAGAGGCCTGATTATAATCACCCTTACTGATCATGATAAGATGTTTCAGTTTTCTTCAGAAGGCAGTGGGAGCCATTAGACGTTTTCCAGCAAGTGATGTCATCATCACATAGGTATTGTGGAAATAGACAGAAGGCAGTGAAGTCACTTAGGAGGCTACACCCAAGATTCAGGGAGAGAAAATATAAGGATGTGAAAAGAAAAAACCTGCCGGTGAGCATCACAAAAAGTGATAGATTTGAAAGACACTGGGAAGGTGGAATTGACAGGTAAAGCAAAAGTTTTAGGATAGCTTCTAATTGTCTTTTTTTTTCCTCTGAGGTGACTGAGGGGATGATTGCATTATTCACTGAGTTAAGAAATAAAGGAAGGGAAATACCATCTTCTCACCGTCCCACACTATACTTAGGATTGCCCTTACCCTGCTCAATATTGTCATCTTTCCAAGGCACATATCACTTTCTATTCTAGCATACAGTGTGCTTATTTATTATGCTTAATTGTTTCTGATCTATCTCTCACTCTAGAATAAAAGATTCAGGCAGGCAGGGATTATTTTGGTTTATTTTGTTCACCACTATAGATCTTAAAGCAGTGGTGAAGGCATATAGCAGATTCAATAAATAGTTATCAGATTAATTAAATGAATAAAACTAATTAATTAATAATTAATTCCATTCTCAACATGTTCAGTTTGAGATTTCTCTGAAACATGCAGAAAGGGAAATCAAGTAGAACACTACTTTCAAACTTAATATGTGTAACATCATCTGGGGATCTTGCCAAGATGCAGATTTGGATTCACTGGTTCTGGGGTAGGGCCCAAGATTCTACATTTCAAAGAAGCACTCAGATGATGCTGAAGCTACTGGTACAAGAGCCATAAATACCTTGGGAGTTTGCTTTGGATATGTAACCTTGGAATCAGTGGACTGGACACGTGATGTCAGATTCATCATCTACAGAAGTGGTGACTGGAGTCATGAATATGGATGAAATCTCTCAGGCAAATAATATGACCTAAGAAAATCCAAAGGGACTCAGAAGCAGAAAGAGCAAAGAAAGAAAAACTTCAAAGTTAAGTGCTACAAATACTAAAGAATCAGGGAATTTGAAGTTAGAGAGATTCTCTGCAGTATAAAACGCCATTATGAGAGGTTAACGAAAATACTGAAAATGTCCTTTATATGTAGTGACCATAATTATTATGGACTGAATTGTGTCACCTAAAATTCATATGTTGAAACCTATCCCTCGATATAACGTATTTGGAGATGGGTCCTCTAAAGAGGTAATTAGGCTCAAATGAGGTCATATTGGTAGGTTCCAATCCAATTTAACTGGTGTCCTAATAAGAAAAGGAAAAGATGCTACGGCTGCATATACACAGAGAAGAGACCGTGTCAGGTCCAGGGAGAAGGTGGCCATCTGCAACTCAAGGAGAGAAATGAAACCTGCCAACACCTTGATCTGGAACGTCTAGCCACCAAAACTGCAAGAAAACTGATTTCTGTTATTTAAGCCACCCGTCTGTGGTATTTTGCTGTGGCAGCCCCAGCCACCTAATACAACAAGTAAAGCATTTGAAACAGAGTAACAGACTTCAGATTTGCAGTATCTTGAGTATTAAAAAGAGGGTGAGAAACCAGAAGTGGAGAATCCCCAAAAGGAAAAT